TGTGCAGTTGACATGCTATGAAGGAAAAAACTTAACATGCAGGCGAGTATCACACCATGTGAATATAACTCATGTGGCAAAGTCTTCAATTGGAGATTATCACTGAAGGGTCAGCATAGAATTCATATGTAGAAAAATGAATTGCTGGATGGATGTAGGCAGACGTTTAGCAGCCTCTCCTCTCCCCCTTAGTAGCAGAGATTTCACACTGGAGAGGAGCTCTTTGACTATAATGAGAATGGGGAAATAGCCACAGCTCAGCTGACTCAGTCTGTGGTACTGGAGAGAACCCCTACAAATGTAATGAATGTGGCAAACTCTTCAGCCAGAGAGCTAACTTTTGTTTATATGAGAGAATTCACACAGGAGAAGAACCCTTTGCCTGTAATCAGTGTGGAAATGCCTCCAGTAACAACTTATCCTTTAAACAGCATGAGTGAATTCACACTGCAGAGAAACTACATGAATGTCATCTATGTGGTAAAGCCCTTAGCTGATGCTCTAAGCTTAGCCATCATGAGAACACATACTGGAGAGAAACCCTATACATGTAATGAATGTAGAAGAACTTTCAGCCTCAGAGCTGAGGCTTAGCCTTCAGCCAAAGCTCAAGCCTTGGAAGGCACAGAACACTGAGCAAAACAAGAAGGAGAACAGCAAGTCTTTACCAGGAGGAGGAAGCCATTTGAGAAATAACAGATAATTCATGTTAGAGAAGCAATTCAATGAAGTAAATAGGAGAAACCCTTTCCTCACAGAGTAGCATTCCAGGACATGTGAGGATTCTCACTGTATTAAACACTCAGTATCGTGAATGAAGGAAAGTCTTCAGTGACCACACATACCTTAGTCAGCCTTCAAGTTCTCACACTGGGGAGTCCCTCAGCCTTCAATCCAAGTAGAAATGCCTTTAACTGCAGTTTATATAAGAAAACTCAGACTGGAGAACAAAACTATCAAGAACCCTTAGAATACAATTCAACATATAATTTAGACTTTTGGCAAATGACATGGCACTGAAAATAATGTAGTGTAAAAATGCAGAACTGTAACGCATTCTTGGAAATGTAGAATGCAGAATTTGGTAAAACGTAATAGGCAGTAAGATAATCCCTCCTCAGCGGATTAATAAAAGTTGTTGATAAAAAATCTGATACATTGGTATTTGTCTTCAAAAAATCATGAAACGTTATGCTGAGTAATCAGGCCATTTTCCCTTTGTTACATCACTGTTGAAAGCTGATCAGTTTCTATTCTTTATGCAGCTCTAAATGTATTTACAAAGACTGTTCAATCAGAAAACAACTTTTAATGTAACTGAAAAGTGTAGAACACAAAATAATGTGTTCTAATGATTATATTAGTGTTGAAATATGTATCTACATGGCAAAGGTGAATGGAAACATGGACAAACACTATGTGATTCAGATATCTCAGGTATGTGAGTGGTATACATGCCCTACTTTATAAGACACTAAAAACAAACAAAGGCTTGAAATAGAAAAATATGCCTAAAAGGATTGAATCAAATGTCCAATATGGCTGAAATGTTGAGTCCTAGAGGGAGAAAAGAGATGAAAGCCTTGTATACCTTTTTCTTAAAGGCAAGGGGAAACTCTTACAGGGTCTTAAGCAACAAGTAAGACAATGAGATTTGGGGGAGGGCACACTAGCTACCATGTGGAGACTGACTTGGCTTGGAGGGGAATAGAACTAGAAGAAGGAGTACCATTTAGGTAACTCCTGCAATAACACAGACATGAGCCAGTGACCCAGACTAAGATGATGACAGTGAGGAGTGAAAGGAGAGCACAGATTTAACAGATTTGTGGATGGTAGTCTCTACAAGACTTAGACATTGAATTTCCAGGAGATAAAGGACTCAAGAATGAGATCTCGGTTTCCGGCTTTAGAAACTGTCCAGGATAGAGGGAAGTACCCTTTAAGGATCCAGGGAACATTGGAGAACCAGATTTGGTAGAGAAGGTGAGTTCAGTTATGAATGTTTTGAGTTTGTGTCTGTTAGGTTTTCCAATCCATAAAGTGATTATATATTTGTCAAATAACTGATGTCTGAAGCCACAAGATGGCAGAGACCACCCAGTAAAGTGAGAGTATTTGAAAGCCAGTGGGCCAAGGATCAACTCTGAGAAACCCCAACATAAGGGAAGGGGAGGAGGAAAAGGAAGCTACAGGTGAGATGGAAAGAAGTGGCCACAGGAGACGGGGCCTCAGAAGCCAAAGGATGGTGGGAGTGGTCACCTTGGTCAGACACTCTGGAGAAGTCAGGATGGAATGAGCTGAATTGCATGATGTCTGTGTTACTGGTGATCTTCACCCAGACTGTTTTAGTGGAGCAAGAGAAGCAGAGACAGTGCAGAGCACCAGAGGTGAGAAAATGCAGTCAGTGCATGTCGGCGCCCTTCCAGTAATTTGGTGGGGAAGAGAGGAGAGAGGTCAGGTGGCAATTAAAGTGGTGCTGGAGTTGAGAAATGATGTTTTTTTAGATGGGAAATGGGGAAGCATACTTAAATGATGAGAAAGGGCCAGCAAAGAAGACCCGGTTCGAGAAAGACTGGGGAGAGAGGAGATAATTGATAGAATAAGGTCCTGAGGAAGTCAGAAAGGGATCTAGAGCACATCATGGTCCTCTTTTTTTTTTTTTGTCGTGGGCTCAATAGAAAACTTGATGGGTTTGTAGACTTGTGGGTTCGTAGAGAACCAGGGCAGCTGCCACAGAGGGAGAAAGGGTTTTGATCTTTTGCTAAGAGGGTAGTTGGATGTAGAACCTAATGTGGGTTGAAAATAAGTCAAAGCAGGAGAACGCTGATAGAGAACAATAAGGAAAAAATCACTTAATAAACCTGTAGAAGTTGAAAAATTGGTGTGATTGGATAAATGACCCAAAAAGATAGGCAGTTGTGTTCAGAGAGCAGGCTGCCTGTTTCAGAGGTAGAGTAGTTCTAGGTCATGACGCAGCCCAGGGTGTGCTCACGGGGGTGGTGGGGAAGGACATCGGAGATGAGGAGACCAACTCCTGGGATGCTGGGATCCACGGGCCATGGGGCAAGGATGTCCCAACAGTGATGGCAGACGGTGTGGAGAGTGACCCAGGTGCCGAAGTCATAAAAAAATAAACGTAAAAGGAGAGTGACCAGGAGTTTAACAGCTAGAAGAAATGGTAGAGGGCAATTATCTTCTACCATTGGCTCCAACCCCTCCACCAGTAATATCCCTCATCCTCTCCTCTTCCCCCCAAAATATATTCTCTCAGCAAATGCATTACCGGTTATGCAAAAGTGACTTCAAAACAAGTCTACTAGCAGGAGTGCTAGGAAGCTATGTAGAAATGTCTGAGAAAAAGGGGTTAAGTGGGAGGTTGAGTCAAGGAGGAGAATTCATAGGAGGGCAGTATTGGGGGGAATACCAAAGAGGATTGATGGTGTAAAGGATGTATATTTTGGATGATAATAGAGGAAAGCATAATTGGAGGTGGTGGTTTTAGCTGGCTTTTTGGGCTAAAAAGCCCTGCCAGTGCCCTCTATACATAAAAACATAAATAAGTAGAATACTTGGATGGAAACCCTGGGAAAGAGGTGAAATGGGAGGCGTGTGGTGTGAGTGTGTGAGTGTGAGTGTGTGGGTGTGCACATTTGCTGCCAGTCGAATTGGGGTGGAGGTTAGAGGAACTCTTCTTTGTGGTGCATGAGTATAAATATCGCTATGCTGTGATCTTAATTTTGAATCTTTCATTATGGCTTATGCATTTTCATTTCTTTAGGCATCTAATTGAAATAATTCTCTCATTGATGTCATTGTTCTGTAAGAAATTGATTCCTAGAAATTGATGGGAAATGTTACTGTATGTTCTAGCATTAAGCCACTAATAGTAGACATCATCCATTTCGGGACTTCTAGGTGCCAGGCACTCAGCTAGCCATGGGGTTACGAAGATAAACATGGATTACAGCTTATTTTGTATAAGTTCTTTTAAATAATACATTAATACCCTAAATTCATTAATCACATTTTCTCACAACCTTCAAAAAATATTGATTTGATAGAAGTAGACATCCTACTGACCAGACACTACATTATGATTAAAACTATTGAAGAGCTTCCAGGTTTAAAAAAAAAAAATCTAATAGCTACTTCCAAATATTACTTTGTTCATTTTTCCTCATCTGTTTATTTTCATTTGTTACATCCCTTAAATTCTTTCTGATTAGGTACTTAATACATATTTGGGGTTTTGTTTTGTTTTTTTAAGATTTTATTTATTTGAGAGAGAGAGAGAGCACGAGCAGGTGGGAAAGGCAGAGGGAGAAACAGATTCCCTGCCGAGCATGGAGTCCGATGGAGGACTCCATCCCAGGACCCGAGATCATGACCTGAGCTTAACCAACTGAGCCACCCAGGCGCCTCTCAATAAATGTTTGTTAAATGCAAAAGTGTAGAGGAGTACCCTGCCATCTGAATTTATCGCCACTGTTTCTAACCACCACACTTGTTTTAAAGAAATAACAATACATGTGCAGTACTAGAGAACATATTACATGGTTTTTCATCTTAAATATAAACTACTTGATAAAGTCAGTAATGAAAAGTATATTTGCTAGTCTGGATCATGCAGTGGAATCTCAGATTTCTTCAAATCCTGCTGCTAGGGCTGGGACTTCTTCCACATGGTACAGTTGAAGAAGAAAACAATGTTAACCATTAACACACTAGTGAGATCGAATGTGTCCACTTACACGAAAGGCTCTCTTCTCCCTGTCTTCCCACCACTCCAGACCTGGTGGGGGAAACCCTGGAAATAGCTCTCCACATGACACGTATTCTCAGAGATCTGAATCATGCCTGGATCTAAGAAATGTGTAATTTCTTTGTAATGGTCCTTCAGAGAGTATCGCCTCACTCCACCAAAGATTGCTTCAAAGTACCCAGAGTAGCAGGATCAATGTGTGAAATTTCATTGTGTACTTATATTTTCTTTATAGGATAAAGATGCACAGAAAGAAGTGAAAAAAATAAGCACTTCCTTGAAGAGGTAAATAGAAGAACTTACTCTTCAGCAAATCAGATGTGGTCTACTAAACTTTAATCCAAGTTGTGTTTTTTTATTATCCTTTTTTCTTCTTTGACGTAAGGGTAGTATGCTCAGATTTGAAGGTAAAACCACATTTCTGCAGAGTGCATTCCAATAGTAGCATGACAAAACTAATCATGTTGTTGGCAGAAATCAAGTTCCCATAATGTCAGTACAAAATTATCTTTAAACATGTATGATTTATATTTTTCCTATCAATTAGCTACAGTCTTCAGAGTATTTCTTTAAATAAAATATTTAAATCAATTCAATAAAGTAAACTGCTTCAATGGAGACTTTACAAAACAAAATTTCATTAATGTGGATAAAAAAAGGGAAAAACGGGCAGAGGTCATGAACAAGTTGTTGACAGAAGAGGAAAAACGAAAGAGTAAACACATGGTAACTAGTAATCGGAAATGTGAATAAAATTACAGTAAGATACTGTTTTGTCATCAAATTAGCAAGGATTTTTTTCTTTCAAGAGATATTCAGTGCTGGTAATGATGCCCACAAGTTGGAACATTCTCAACCACAGCTGGTGAGAGGGTATTTTGACACAAACATTTGGTAAAATGTGTCCTGAGCCTTAAAAATGTATTAATTCTTGAATCTTGTAATGTCATTTCAGGGGAATAGTCCTAAGGAGAAAAGGACAATTATTTATGCACAAATGTTTATAACAGCATTATTTATTATAGCAGAACACTATGTCCAACAATAAAAAAGCAGTTAACCATATTAGAATCTAACCATATTAAAATATAACTACAACAGGATATTATTTTGGCATTGAAAAAATTACCGAAATTGTGCAATGCACAAAGCATCTTAAGTGCAAGTACAAGGCAAAGTAGTGTATACATATCATCTCAGCTATATGAAAATGTGTGCAGAAAAACATCAATTGGAAAGACACTAATCTGGTAGCAGTTCATATTTCTGTGGAGTTGTGTTTTATTTCTTCTATTTCCCAATTTTTAATAAACTAAAAGGATTTTTTTCATTGAACTTAGCTAGCAGTGATCTGTAAAGATTCCTCACTACACTTTAACCAGCCTCATCCTGGAAATCAGATCAAAACTTGAAATTCCTTCATGCTATCCCAAATATATGCATGCATTTATACACTCAAGATTTCAAGCCCTGGCCTAGAGATGCCATTTAATCAAACTGAGCTAGTTCCTCTCTCTTTTACACTGACCCATGGAGATACCTGAATCGGTTTGACTGATTCTTGTCCAAACTCTGACACCTGGTCTAATGTTGACAGCGCTGGCTGGAAGGGACAGGAGTCTGGCAGTTTCCTGCACAGATAAGCGGTGTCCACAGGCTATAGGATGCCTCTGGCTCTCTCTGAACAGCTCCAAGAATGTGCCAGTTGAGACAGGTGATTGTCACTAACAGCAAATGAGAGAATCAACCACGTTGTGGGAGCAGCTCATTCCAGCAGAGAGCAGTGCAAAGACTTCTGCTAGGAATTATGAGGGACATCTAACCGATCTCCGTTTGTTTTAACAAAATTCCTCTTTGGTCCCTGGAGTCAATATGTTACAATGGGAGTGTAACACTCCCAAAAGTTACTTGAACCTTTAAAGCATTAGGAATTGCTGGCACATTTGACAATTTCTCCAGTAGGATGTTAGCAGAGGAAATCTCCCTCCCCATCATGGTTATACTGGGTCCCCTTCAAATGAACATTAAAGCCCGGCTGTCTAGGTCACAATGGAACAGTCTCCACATTAAATCTGCCCCCTTTTAAAAGCTGAGTATTTTTCTCAGATGGCAGCACTATTTGTAGTTTGGTATACTTACTCCAGGGAATTTCCCACAAAGTGAGTCATGTGAACTGACTGTAGCTTGCTTTCTATGGTTGCTTCACTCGCCATTTGTGCTATTGATTTGGGAGAAGACACTATGTCTCCAGAGCACTTCCGAAACGATCCTGCGGGGTCTCTAAGGCCAAGCCAGTGGTGCGCCGTCCACCACAACAAAATACACCAACTCCTAACCTTTCAAGAGACTTGCCGCACAGCTTTGAAAAGGGGAGGTTCTGATCCAGAACTTCAAATATATTCAATTTCAGAAGATAATAAACTGCATGTTAAAATTTCTCATAAAACGTTAAAGAAGTCAGCGTTCTGCTAAAATTTTAGCAATCGTCCTATCAATGTAATTTGCAAGCTTAGTTATCTTTCTTACTAAATAACGAATGACCTTCGCTGGAACATGAAAAACTCCATTGTGCCTAACAGTGGTCCAAAAGCCTTTCATGTGATAATATGGGTATAATTTTGAATTATAAAAAGCAGTGTTAACAGCTGGATGGGACCGTGGAGACAGTCTTCTAGACCAGCCTTCTCATTTTCCCCCGGAAACAGTCTAAGCTCTGATGCGTAAACCACATGGAAGGGGTCAGGGAGCTGGGGACTGGGGACTGGCCGAGCCAGGACCAGGTTCCAACTCGGAATCTCGTGCCTTCTGCCCTCTTCTCTGAGCCCAGGGCTTTTTATGTTCAATTGATTGAAGCCCAGCATGTCTGTTGTAGATTAGGGGCTCTGGGAACAGTAATACTGCTTGGCATTAACCCATGGTTCTGCCTGTTTTAAGTGCTTTACCTACATCAACTCACTTAAATGTCACAGTGGCCCGAGAAGAAGGAACTTTTGTTTCACTCTATTTACAGACAGGGCAGCTAAAGCAGGAGATATTAAATACGATATGGAGCACAGCATGAGATTTGAACTTGGGCAGTCTGCTCCAGTCCGTGCTGTAGTCTGAACCACCGTGCAATCCTGCCAGCAAATGGGGGGTCAAGGGGATGTGGGGTTAAAAGACAAAAGGTGGAAGGAGAGAAGGGGGAAAAGGACAGGAAAGGAAGAAAGGGTTTATTAAGAAAGGAATGGTAGAGAGAGATGGTAAGGAAAGAAGGAAAAGAAGAGAACAAAGGCAAAGAAAAATCCTTGTATTTTTTGGATATTGATACCCATTTTCTGGTTTCACATATATTTCCAACAACCTGTTGTGTATCTTGCCTTATATTAAGTCTGTTTTCATATTCCCCCCTTCTTTCCCAAGATAAGGAAGCAAGAAAAAAGGAGGTGGTGAAACCTGCTTTCAATGACTCGCTCCCCTCGATCTGTGTGGCGGGAGAGCCTCAGGAGAAACTTTATGACCTATTGTTGGGCAGTTAACAAGAATATTTCATGTCACAGTTAAAGACAAGGTCACATTTTAGAACCAAGTATCATTAATATCTTGATGCTCCATGACTTTTGCAGCTCCCAAACCAGGATTTTGCTCTAGGTGCCCGAAGTCACATCATTAAGTTCTAAAAATAGCTTTACTGAGGTGTAATTGACATACCAAAATGCACATATTTAAGGTGGATACTTGATGTGTTTTGAGATATATATAGATATAGATACAGATATATAAATATATCCCTGAAACCATCATCACAAGATAACGGACATTTCCATCCCCCCAAAAGTTTCTTCACACCCTTTGCAACCCCTCCCTCCTGACTCTCCCTGTACCTCCCATCCCCAAACAACCGCTGACCTGCCTTCTTGTCATCATAGATTGCGTTTTCTGGACTTTTATATAATTGGGATTGTACATTATGTTTTCTCTTTTTTTGTCTGATTTCTTTCACTCAACAAAATTATTTTTGAGATCATTCATCTCGTCGTGTATACTAAGAGTTCATTCCTTTTTATTGCTGGGGGTATTTTATTACATGGATATACCAGAGTTGTTTCTCTCCCTTCACCTGTTGATGAACATTTGGGGAGTTTCCAGTATTTGATTATTACAAACAAATCTATGAATATTCATATAAATTCTTTAAATGGACATATGCTTTCATTTCCCTTGGATAAATACGTAGGAATAGAATGTCTGAATCATGTGATCTATGTTTAGCATTTTATTTTTTTATTTTTTTAGCTCTCAAGTTATTTTATTTATTTTTTACTTTTTTATAATTTTTTTTATCGTGTTATGTTAGTCACCATACAAAACATCATTAGTTTTTGATGTAGTGATCCACGATTCATTGTTTTCATATAACACCTTGTGCTCCAAGCAATATGTGCCCTCCTTAATAACCCATCACCGGGCTCACATATCCCCCCACTCTCCTCCCCTCTAAAACCCTCAGTTTGATTCCTGGAGTCCGTAGTCTCTCATGGTTCATCTCCCTCTCTGATTTCCCCCCTTCATCTTCCCTTCCTTCTCCTAATGTCCTCCATGCTATTCCTTACGTTCCACAGATCAGTGAAACCATATGATAATTGTCTTTCTCTGTTTGACTTATTTCACTTAGCATAATCTCCTCCAGTCCCATCCATGTTGATGTCAAAGTTGGGTATTCATCCTTTCTGATGGCTGAGTAATATTCCGTTGCATGTATGGACCACATCTTCTTTATCCATTCATCTGTTGAAGGGCATCTCGGCTCCTTCCACAGTTTGGCTATTGTGGACATTGTTGCTATGAACATTGGGGTGCAGGTGACCCTTCTTTTCTGCATCTGTATCTTTGGGGTAAATACCCAGTAGTGCAATTGCTGGGTCATAGGGTAGCTCTATTTTTAACGTCTTGAGGAACCTCCATACTGTTTTTCAGAGTGGCTGCACCAACTTGCATTCCCACCAGCAGTGTAAGAGGGTTCCCCTTTCTCCACATCCTCTCAGACATTTGTTGTTTCTTGCCTTGTCAATTTTTGCTGTTCTAACTGGTGTAAGGTGGTATCTCGATGTGGCTTTGATTTGAATTTCCCTGATGGCTAATGATGTTTAGCATTTTAAAAAAGAGTCAAACTGTTTTCCAAAGTGGTTATCCCATTTTATATTCCCACCAGCTATGAATGAGAGTTCCACTTCCTGCACCTTTTTTTTTTTAATTTTATTTTTATTTATTTGAGAGAGACAATGAGACAGAGAGCATGAGAGGGAGGAGGGTCAGAGGGAGAAGCAGACTCCCCGCTGATCAGGGAGCCCGATGCGGGACTTGATCCCGGGACTCCAAGATCATGACCTGAGCCGAAGGCAGTCGCTTAATCAACTGAGCCACCCAGGCGCCCCTCCTGCACCTTCTTAACAACATTTGGTATCGTCATTCTCCAAAATTTTAGCTACTGTTCTGTGTGTAGAGATATCTAATTGGGGTTTTAGTTTGCATTTCCCTAATGGCAAATTACATTGAGCATATTTTCATGTGCTTATTTGCCATTCGTATATCTTTGGTGAAGTATTTTTCAAAATTTTTGTCCATTATCTTAATTGAGATACTAGTTTTCTTTTTTATTGAATTTTGAGAGTTCTTTATATATTCTGTATGATAGAAGTCCTTTATTAGATAGGTAATTTGCCAATGTTTTCTCTCTGTCTGTGGCTTTTAATTTCCTTAACAGTGTCTTTGACAGGACAAAAGTTTTTCATTTTGATGAGTCAATTTATACTTTCATGTATATTGTTTTTGGTGGTGTATCTAAAGATCCTTGCTTAATCTGAGGTCATAAAAATTCTCTCCTGTATTTTCTTCTAAAAATTTTATACCTAGGGTTTTACATTTAAGCCTGTGGTCCATTCTGGGTTAATTTTTGTATATGGCATGAGGTAGGGATTGAAGTTCATTCATTGTGTATGTGGATACACAATTGTTCTAGCACCATCTGTTGAAAAGACTTGTTCCCCCACTGAGTTGCCTTTGCACCTTTGTCAAAAATCAGTTTTCCATATATGTATGGTTTCTATTTTGTTCCATCGATCTATTCATTAGTATTACCGCCAACACCACACTGTTGATTACTGTACTTTTATATTATCTTGAAATCAGATATTGTTATTCCTTCAGCTTTGTTTCTTCTCAAACTTGATTTGGCTATTCTAGCTTCTTTGCATTTCCATCTGAATTTTAGAATCAGTTTTTTAATTTCTAAAAAAAAAATCTAGCTAGAATTTTGATTGGCATTTTGTTGACCAGTTTGTCTCCTCAACTCAAGGAGATTGTGGGACTCCTCTCAGGCTCCCCTTATGTGCATTGTTGCCTGGAAACTCTCTCAAGGCAGTAACCCCGGGGAATTGTAGGGCTCACCTTGTTTGTTACAGTCTCAGGAATTACTGTCCTTTCTTTCCCACTGTCCAGTATCTTGAAAACCATTGATTCATACATTTCGTCCATGTTTTGGATTTTGAAGAACAGAAATTGTAACTTCAGGGACTTGTCATTCTGGAGCACTTTCTAATCCTCTAAACCATTATTTTGTATACAACAAACTCAAACATATTAAATTGCTTTTTAAAACAAGTTTCTATAATGTTCAAATGTATCCATTCTATAATATAAGACAAGTTGAACAATTGTACTATGAAATTAATTATTTAATTAGACTTTGGTTACAACTCAGATAATTTGTTTTTAAACAGCATTCTTAAGCGTTGGCAAATAAAGTTTGCATATGAAGAATTAAATTATACCTTTCTTCCTTCTTCAATACTTTACATTTACACAACCCAGCGAATTTAAATTTGGGAAATTTGACTGGGGAAAAGAATCTGCTAAAAATTATAAGTAGAAACAGCATTAGGAATTATTAATGTCACTTAGCCGTGCTGTTCACAGAGCCCTAAGTGGGCAGCCACTTCCTGTCAGGTGGACTAGTCGCACCGTGGTGTGTATGAAATTCATCTGGAGCCCAAAGTTGGCTGTCCTAATTTTTTTTTTTTTTTTTTTTTAGATTTTTATTTATTTATTCATGAGAGACAGAGAGAGAGGCAGAGGGAGAAGCAGGCTCCCAAGGAGCAGAGAGCCCGATGCGGGACTCGATCCCAGGACCCTGGGATCATGACCTGAGCCGAAGGCAGACGCCCAACCATCTGAGCCACCCAGGCGCCCGGCTGTCCTAATTTTTAAAAGGTCCCAGTCAGGGGCACTTGGGTGGCTCAGTCGGTTAAGTGTTCAACTCTTGATTTCGGCTCAGGTCATGATCTCAGGGTCCTGCAATCAAGCCCCGCATTGCGGACATCTCTCTCCCCACTCCAGGCCTGGCTCAAGTGACAGAAACTCCACCATAAAACCTTCCTGATCCACATAACTAGATGTGCTCTCTCCTTCCTCAAAATAACAAGGCACTTTTTGTGTCCTTTGTGAGCCTGACCAGCCATCAGATCTTCAGCAAGGCGAGGACAAGAACCAGGTATTCGTCACTTTTGTATGCTCTGTCTAGCCATATGCACTCAATTAACATGTGTTCAACTAAATCAAACAACTCAAGGGGCACCTGGGTGGCTCAGATGGTTAAGCGTCTGCCTTCAGCTCAGGTCATGATTCCAGGGTCCTGGGATCGAGCCCCACATCGGGCTCCTGGCTCAGCGAGGAGCCTGTTTCTCCCTCTCCCTCTCTGTCTCTCTCCCTGCTCATGCTTTCTCTCTCTCTCTCTCTCTCTGTATCTCTGTGTCTCAAATGAATAAATAAAATCTTTAATAAATAAATAAATAAATAAATAAATAAATAAATAAATAAATAAATAAATAAAACAACTCAAGAAACACAAAAGCACTTCACAGCTCCTACAGTTCCTAAAAGAGAAAATTAAGGGTCATTTCTACCCTCGGAGATGATGTGGGAGCGAGCAGAAGGAAGGAGGGGCAAGCAGGGCAGGAAATGGAGCCACCCTGCAGCTCAGGGGCTAAGCCTGAGGCAGTAAGCTCGAGGCAATGCCAAGATCAGCCCTTGACTTCAAATTCCTAGTACTCTCTTTCTCCCCTAAAAACAACACAGACACGTGGACGTTCCATTTTATTTTTTACTACTGCCTGCATTGAATGGAATATGGACCATATACTAGACTTAATCATTGTGGCATTTCTAGGACCCAGTTGTTGTTTTTTTCTTTTTGAAATTTTAATTCATATTCCATTTCCAGGCTTCAGTTTGTAGTCTCTTGGTTTAGTAATAAAGTAACTCCTGCCGTCCCCCAGTGTGGAACTTAAAACAATCTAGAGAGGTGACAGAGGACTGTTCCTGACAACCTAGTGACAGTGAGCACTGCTCTTGGAGGACACCTAGCCCTTGAGCTTGCTGCTAACAGATTGGAAAATTTTAAAATGAGATGATTTTTATTGCTTTAGGGACCAGTCCTCCTGCATGTACATCTAGTGATAACACATATACTATGTTTATAACATTGTAAAAGTTGTCTTTTAAATGCAAAAAAGTCTCTGCTTTATATTCATATCAAACTTCCGCTTTTTCAAAGTGCTAGCACCAGATGTAACATTTCAGTGCAAACTTATTACTTGCTGAAATTGGGAAGGACATGGTGCCATCTTAACTTGCCTGTGAGGGAACTGGAACGAGGTTAGATTTGCTGGAGGTCACATACCTAGCTCATGAGAGAGTGGAGCCTGGACCCAGTGAGGGAGGAAATCATATTCAGATCCATACAATCAGCCTTAAACCATTTTAGATTTATTGTACTTAGGAACTCTTTCTTTTTCCTTTGTTTTTATTTACCTAAAAAGTGCCTATAGCAGTCTCCTTTATTTGTAAAAACAAAGACTTCTGGAAGTTCGTGTAATTGTTAACTTAGCCAACGACACACAAGTATCTCCCACAGTGGGGGAAATGGTTCATTGGAAAGGAAAACAGTAATTAAGGTGGGCTTTGGATAGGATTTGGATGTCCATAGAATATAAATTCATGGGAATGTCCTGGAAAGGTGCCTTACTCTATTTAGGGAACAATTTGCATACATCTGGTTGTGGTAATTTCTCTACAAGATGCTGCTCACAGTCACACTTTGTTTCCGGTTTAATTTCAGTGTAATTATGTGAATCATCACTGTTCCACAACTATAATTTACATTTCAGAACAGACTTAGTGGAGATTATGATCTGTCTCACAGTTGCAAATCTCCCCTCCCCAAATCTAGACTGTTCCAATGTGGCTCACTGAGTTGGCTGAGAAGCTTGGGGGTGAGGGGAAGTTTATTTGGATTTTCCCAAACTCAGCCATGTATTATGAACAGCCGGTATCTTTACAAAGAGGATAACTTGCTGGGGGTGCAGACGCAAAAGCTGCCCACCTCCTTCTGACCTCCCACCTTGTCTCAGACCGGAAATGCTCTCCAAGCAGGGACCCTCTTCAAGATGCACAGGGCCCCCGAAGAATGCTCTTCCGAACCACAGTTAGCTAGACTCCCAACTTAAGTTTCTTGTCCAAGGGAGGAGCCAGTGAACTGAGTTGGGTCTCAAAAGCAGCATCCAACCAAGCACACTGTGCACCGTGCCTGCCAGGCTCTGACTCAGCCTCCACCCTTGAACAGCACTGTAGCAGATGTGGGGCCGAGCTGCTCACTGTCCATCACCCCCAGGCATTTCTCACAAGTGAGTGTGACCTCTCACTGGTGCCCCTGTCCTGAAAGCCCATTCATCAGAGGAGGGGCCTCCTCCTTCTCTTCTTACATCAGCGTCATTGAGGTATACATTACATACAACCAAATGCATTCATTTTAAGTGTCAAGTGTGATGCATCAGGACGAATTCATACACCAGTTTAAGCCCTACCACATTCGAGATATAAAATAGGTGCATCTCTCCAGAAAGTTCCCTTGGGTCCCTTCCCACTCCATCTCTGGCCCGCACCCCGGTCTCAGGCAACCGCAACCACTTTCTGGTGCTATAGGTTAATTGTTTTTGAGCATATCACATAAATGGAATCATTCCTTCTCTGAGCACATTTTTGAGATCCATCCACGTTATTTGGTGTATCAGTAGTTCATCCCATTGTGTGGCTGTGTAATACTGCATAACCCGAATGTCATAAATCGCTTATCAGTTCACCTATTCGGGATTGTTTGCAGTTTGGGGCTATTATGAATGAAGCTGATGTGAACATTCATATACTAGTCTTTCAAGGACATGTTTTTATTTGGAAGGAGGAGGCAAAAACCTAGGCATGAAGTTGTCGCATGTTCGATTTATGAAAAACTGCCACACTGCTTTTCCAAGGGCAGCGCCATTTTGCATTGTCCTCAGAAATGAAGGAGAGTTCCAGTTGTTGCACATCCTCACCAACACTTGGCACAGTCAGCCTGTCGTTAATTTTAGCCATTCTAACAGAAGTGTGGTGGCACTGCATTGTGGTTTTAATTTGCACTTTGCTGACTAATGACTGAGCATCTTTTCATGGGCTCATTGGGTATCTTTCTTCCTTGCCTCGCTCTGACTAGCAGATGGCACTAAACTCAATAATCCTACAGCCAAAAACATCCTTCTCACCTGCTGGTAGGTTTCACTTTTTCCTTCTTGCCCTAACACTGACAGCACATAAGGAAGCTGACAGGAGCTCTGATTTGCCTCCCATCCCGGGACGAGGTCATAAAAACAGACCTTCAGAAACCCCACGGAAATAAAGGTGAGCAGCCAGATTGAGCCTGTGACATTGGAACAAAGTTGGGAGAAGGAAGATGAATTTACGTCCCTCTTCCCCCCTTTGCTCCACTATACTTACAGGAACCCCCACTGATACAATCCTGACAACCAGTCATGAGTTTTCTGACCTCTTGTAACACAGTCCACGCTTCTGATTTCGTTATTCAATTCTGTATTTTTTAAAAGATTTTATTTATTTATTTGAGAGAGAGCAAAAGCGAGAGAGAGCACAGAGGGAGAAGGAGAAGCAGACTCACCGCAGAGCAGAGAGCTTGATGCGGGGCCCGATCCCAGGACCCAGCTCAGGTCATGAGCTGAAGGCAGATGCTTAACCGACTGAGCCACCCAGGTGCCCCACAATTCTGAATTTCTTTGAAATGTTATTGAATCCGTATGCACATGTAGTCACTCCTTAAATAGATTAAAAGGCACTCCATTTTATCTTGCTTTTGTGTTCCCATGGTGCTCAATGAGTACTTTTAAAGTTGAATTAAATTTGCAATTTTCAACATATATGTTTATTTTATATATATATATACACACATATATAAACATGTATGTATATGTAAATGTATATATTTAGAGAGAGAGAGAGGAAAAGGGAAGGAGAGAGAGAAAAGAAGGAAGAGAGGGAGGGAGGGAGGGACATGGAGAGAAGGAAGGAGACTGAGATTGAACTTACTCTAGATTATAGAGTATTCATTCTATGTGGACCCAAACTTTTTATCTCCAGGACTTGACAAGATTCCTCCCCCAACTCCCTACTCTTGTTGACAATGTAAAACAAACCACAGTTAGCCTGGGAATTATCTTTATGGAATAAATCAGCATATTGTTTTGAGTTTTTGCACTGCATGTATTAATTTAAAAAGAACACGTCTTGGTTCAGTAAAAATTTGCAGAAAGCCAGACATCCTATAAAAAGAATTTGTTGTTTCAGATGTTTATCCCTCTAACCATCTTTTTCTTTTTTATGACTACAAAGAACAATTGTGTTTCTTTACTTGTCAGTAATCATCTACTCAAGAAGACTTCTG